CAAAAGCAAAAACTAAGTTTAATGAGAGAAACATGGCTAAAACCAGAAAATAGGATGATTAAACTTTACTAAAGAAGTTAACTTTGAAGAGAATATGTTAAGTCTACTTGTAATCTATTCTAAATAGCATGAAATCTAAGCAAATAAGGATAATATTATACTAATAGCAAGAAAATAAAGGATCAAAACCAGAAATTGCAAGTTTAAACAAGGAGGCAACTAAGATATTAAACTATTCTATTGACTTGAAATAACAACTACAGATAAGCTAAAACTAATTAAAATAGATAAATAAAGCAATAAATAAAGAGTAGGGATAGAAATAATACCAAAAGATTTAATCTTGGATTGAAAATGAAAGAGAGTAACAAAGAGTAGTGTTTTAGATCTAATGAGGAACTAAACCCTAACTAATCTAAAGTGCAAAAGAAAGAAAAAAAACAATAAGCTGAAATCTGATTTTCTAATATTTCTCTCTCTACATACCTCTCTCCTCCCAATTACAAGGAAGAGAGGTATTTATACCCTCCTCTAAAACCTAACCCAAATCAAGGCCCAAAATTTTAGGCATCACGTGCAGAGTAAAATAATTAGAGCCGTCGGCCTACGCGTGTAGCAGAGTTCAAATCGGTCATGGGAACACGAAGCGCCCGCTCTAAGGCCAGAGCGCCCGCTCTGAAGTCTCGCAGAAAATGCTCTGATTATTCTGGGAGCTAGAGCGCCCGCTTCAACATTAGAGCGCCCGCTCTGAGGGTTGGGTACTTGGTTTTTCTGCAGCAAGGAATACAGAGCGCCCGCTCCATATCTAGAGCGCCCGCTCTGAACTCTTCTTTCCTTCATATTTTGGGCTCTAATGCTCCAATCCCTTTGACTCCAAAGCATGTCTAATCCTTGCATCCAATCCTTGCTTTCTTAGCCACGGGAGGACCTGTAAGATGGAAAACACAAATCATAGGAAAGGTTCTAATAGGAGCAAATTGAAATGGGTTAAAGGAGAGGGAATAAAACCTTAGGAAATGAGCCAAAAATGACTCAAAACCACTCCAAGTAACAAATATGCTCAATAATAACAAAACTAAGCTAAAATAGAGGAAAAAGGGCAAACAAAGGGCTCAATCGGGGAAGAAACGAAGTAGAAAAGTGGGCCAAATGGCCACTGATCAACGACCTATTGTCAATTGATCACCCCATAAAGTCTACTCCCAAAACACCAAAAGGCTCAACCTCCAAGATGTTTTGTTGAGGCATTTCATCTCTTTTGGTGATGCCACCACTTTTTTGGCACCTATCACATCTAGAAACAAACTTGTGAGCATCCTTGTGCATTGTTGGCCACCATAAGTGAGATAGAGAGATTTTTTCCACCATCTTGTAAACTCAACCATGTCCACCACATGGTAACAAGTGGCAATGCTCAAGAACTCCTTCAATTTCATGATCCAGAACACATTTTCAGAAAAGGCCATCTCCACATTGTATGAATAAGTAGGGATCATTTTAAAAGTATATTCTCACTTCCTTGAAGAATCTTTTCTTTGGTTGAGAGGAGAACTCCGGGGAATAACTCCACAAGCAAGATAGTTGGCGATGTCCACATAACAAGGGCTAGATGTTAAAGCTATAACCATAAGAGTCTCAAATCCCATCTCCTCATTGATGAGTACATATCATCCTAGCTTTCAAAGGGGAGCCTAGACAAGTGATCCGCCACATAATTCTTCGCTCCTTTGTTATCTCTCATCTCTATGTCAAAATCTTGAAGCAAAGAACCCAACGGATGAGGCGTGGCTTTGCTTCCTTCTTGCTCATTAGATAACGAACCGCTATATGATCCGTGTATACAACGACTATGGAGCAAACATGATAGGACCTAAACTTGTCTATAGAAAAAACAACCGCAAGCATCTCCTGCTCCGTTGTTGTGTAATTCTTTTACTTGCATAGTAGATGACATAAGATTTTCCATCTTTCCTTTGACAAAGAACCACACCCACTTCAAAATCACTCGCATCGCACATTTGGTCAAATGGCAAGCTCCAATCCGGAGCTTGCACAATGGAGAGGAAATGAGAGCTTCCTTAAGCTTATGGAATGCCTCAAGGCAAGCCTCATTAAAGCTAAACTCAACATCTTTCTTAAGAAATTCGGTCAAAGGTTTGGGGATTATTGAAAAATCTTTGATAAACCTCTGGTAGAAACCAGCATGCCTATGAAAAAAGCTCTTACTCCCGTGATGGAAGAAGGAGGGGGCAACTAGGAAATCACCAAAACTTTAGCCGGATCAACTTCAATGCCCTTCTTGTACACTTTAGGGCCTAAGACAATGCCTTCCTCAACCATTAAGTGACACTTGTCACTAGTAGAAAAAACTAATTTAGAAGTGGTTCAAACCCCCTAATTGGAAGCGGTTTTGAACCGCTTTGGTTTGTGGGGCTTTCCATTGTCAGTTAGAACTAGAAGCGGTTCAAACCGCTTCCAATTATGGGAGAATTGGAAGCGGTTTGGCGCCAAACCGCTTCCAATACCCATTTTTAAAAAACAAAAAATTCTACGATTAGAAGCGATTTTGGCGCCAAACCACTTGCAATTGTAGAATTTTTTTTTATATAATTTATTACTAATAATATTAATATAATAATATTATAAGTGACCTTTCACAATAATTTCAGTATTATTAATTAATAATAAAATAATATTATTAATCAATATAAATTTATTATTATTAATTAATAATAAAGTTAATATTATTAATTAATAATAATATTAATATTAGTTACAAAATAATACAATAATATATATAACACGAAATAATTATATATATATAAAAAGTAACATCATTAATATATTTAATGAACAACAATATTTAATTACACAAAAATATATTAAGATTACAATTAGAAATCCTACGTTCATACTAATACGTACTTAATTAAAATAATGTTGACAATAATAAGTAATTAATAAAGCCAAGCTAACAACCCAATATAACCATTACGACAATTGTACATGCCATCAAATGTGTCGAAAAAAGCCCACATGTCGCGAACTTCATTGATTTCATTCCTTGTTAACGGGCCTTCCCTTTAAACCTTACAAAACATTAGAGAAAAAAAAACCAAACATTGTCATGAGTATCACAACCCCGAAATGCACCAATATCACATAAATTTACCGAAATTCACCGAAAATCACCAAAAATGGCCGAAATGCACAAAAATGACATACATCACGTGCATGTACAGGCTGCTGGGCAGCTGCCTGGCTAGGCTGCTGCCTAGCTGGGCTACTGGAGTGGCCTGGCCTGCCTGCCTTGGTTGCTGCAACTGCCTAGCCTGCCTACCTTGGCTGCTTTAGTGGCCTAGGCAGCCTGCCTTGGCTGCTGCACAGCGCGGGCAGCCTGCCTTTCCATATTGCGTGTGATGCTTGTGTTTTTTTTGGTGCAAGTTATGCTTGTGTTTTGTTCAGTGCAATAATGAAAACAATTAATAGGTTGAAGATAGTAAAAGCATACCTCATCTAGTTGTTGTGCGTCCTTGTAACTATTGTCTATGTTAAGCATAAACCTCATAACGTGTAGGGCACAATCAAGTCCGTTGTCTTGTTGCGCACACTGACATGCCACAAACAATATCAAATCATGCATAGCCATTAACCGAAGCCAAGTATATTAAGGAAATCACTAACTCAAGGCATTACCTTTCCATATTCCCACGTAGGACTCGCAGCAGAACGACAATGTAGCTTCTTCATTACACTTTAGGAAAGTAAGTTCAAAGTTAGAAACATAAATACTTAATGGTTTTAGTGAGGTCAATCAACAATAGGAAGCAATACGTACCTATTCAATATATTATTCACTAGCAACCTACATGGTGGATTCTGACGAAGTGAATCAAAGTGGTAGATTGTGTATTTGGAAACACAAATCACCAAAAGGGTCCAATGAGCACTGCATATATTGAAAAACGTCAACAAATATACGCCACAGTTAACTACATTTTCAAAAAAAATTTAAAAAATAACAACTGAATTTATGACATTTGTAGACGTACTCCTCAAAACATGGGGCTAATATGAACTTATCTCCCGCATGAGTTGATTCCTTGATACTCCATTCTAGGTAATCTTCCACATCACGAGGGTTGCACGAGCATCTGGTAAGCGAGGTCTGCTCGGGGCAAAACCACCCAACTGCAGCCTTGGAATCGCCTAAGTATCTAAGGTGCTCCTGTAGTGCCCTTCATGACAGTATTGTGGGGAATAATTATTAAAAGCATTGTTTACAGTCGAAAATGCAACAAAATGATTAGGAATAGTTACCTCATGAAAGCTTGAATGATGGAAATGTTAAGCATGGCACCAGATAGAAATTCCTTCACATCCTCTTTTGCAATTGGTGAGATCCCATCCTCATCATACTGGAACAATGCCTTAGGTAAAATCACTTCAATAGATCTACCCCTAGGCAACTCACTCACACGGTTATGAAGAAAAGTACAAGCTCTAGAGAGCGAATTCAGGATGCCGGCTTCTACTAGTGGAGTACAACTCGTGGCTGAACCGCTCGAACTCTTCTTCAACCCTTGTCCTTGTTCCATGTTCTTTGTAGGTTGGACATTCTTAGATTTTGGCTTCTCCACTTTCTTCCTTTTAGATGACTGATTTTCATTTGTAACATAAAAAGCACATGGTTATATTACAAGCTATTTGGGACATGTTTTAAAAACAAGGTAAGTAGCTTAGTGTACACTTACCCCTTCTATCAACCTCACCCGATCACGTGGCCATTGCACAAAGCTACCTTTCGCATCAAGCAGTGTGATGAAGTCATATCCCTCTCTAGGCACCGGTAGTGGCAAGTCCTTAAACCCTGGTACTATGGAATTGATCCCGACCGAGATATAGTGGGTACTAATATTAGACTTAAAATGGACCTTGTCAAACTGTTGTGCGCTACCATACCCCACCAACTCTCCATCCACGTTTTTGCCGAGGCGAAGAAGCTCACAAGGCGTCTCTTCCTACATAGTTGATTAGGACAAGTTATGAACTAATTAACCAGCGTAAGCCTAATACGTTTACATTTCATTAAGACTTGGAATTTACCTGAACATCTGGAAAAGGATCAGGTGTCTGGTTTGTAATCCCCCTTGAGTCTGCATGCGTAGGAGTAGGAATCTGCAATAGTAAAATAATTATGCTACATAAGGCCTCGTTTGATGATATGAAGTTCATGTTCTCAACTGTAATTCAATTACCTCGCTCTCAACAAGTGGATCGTCCCCGGCATCTTCTGGGTGACTACATGAGTCCACTAGGGTTATCGGGGGTAAAGACAAGGTTGGCAAGTTCATGTGCTTCAAAATTGCATTGAATTGACTTTGCAATTGTTCTTTCACCTCTTTCCGTATCTCCGCCTTAATTGAATCCTTTTCCTTGGCATTCATATGGTGGGGAAAATTAACACTTGATCTAGTTCTTCCTGATCTAGTGTATTCTGAATCCATAACCTTTTCCCACCCTAGTTGTTTCCCTCCCGCACCAATGACTCGCCCAGGGTGGTATGGTTTTCCCAAAGCCAAGGTAAAAGGATCGTTCTCTATCCTTGGAGTGAGCTTGCCTTCAACCACCTCCGACGTATTCTCGAGCTGCAACAACACAAAAAGTTTCCAGTTCTAAGTTAGATGTAGTTTCTATGGAAATACTAATAGAAACTATGGAATATTACCATAAATGTCAAAGGGTGCTTACAAGTGCATCTGCTACTAGCCTTTTATCCGGGTGCATGATGTACTTCCCGGTGTTCTTTTTGATCCCATGCATAGCACACCATCAATCATTTGCACGACTTACCAAACTTGTGACCGGGGATGGAAGCGGTTTATCAGATAATGGTATTTTGGATGCGGGGTATATACCCTCTTTGATCCACTTTGGTCTACTTTCCGCAAATGTCTTACAACGCATATGATGATTATACATTTTGTTCTCAGCATTACTTATAGCTTCTTGACTTTTTCCCTACACATTACCAAATGTTCACATCATAATATGTAGTGAGCAAAATTGAGGAAACAACTCTAATTTATATTAAAATACATACAAGTGCAGTAGTAGTAGTTGATTTCGCCACAAACTTCTCCAAGTCCTTCACCGTTATTTGTGGATATACATCCCACGGTTTCTTCTCAGGTTCCTCCTCTCCTGCATTACCCATCATAGTTTTCTGCAGTTTATGCCTTTGCTTCTTATGGATCCATCTTGTTCTCAACGAACTTTTGAAGTTTTTGAATCTCTCTTGTACAAAACCTTCAAACGATCTTCTCTTGTCTGGCTCATCTGGAATATTAAACACAATATGAAAGAATGGCAAATGTACATGTTAGTTTAGAGCAAAATAAAGTAAAAAAAAAACAAAAGATCATGCACAGACACCCTAGACAGCTGTACACAAGCCCTGGCAGGTTGAACAGCCAGCCTAGGCAGCTGCACACAGCCCTGGCAGGCTGTACAGCAGCCTTAGGCAGGCTGCACAGCCACCCTAGGCAGGCTGCACAGCCACCCTAGGCAGGCTGCACTACCAGCTTAGGCAGCTGCACACAGCCATGGCCTGCTGCACAGTCAAGTAGGCAGGCTGCACAACCAATGTTACGAAGTTTGGTTTGATTTCGGTGAATGCACATTGATTTTGGTACGAAGTTTTTTGAGAAAAACTGAAATGCAAAACACTTACCATTGTATCATCCCAAAACATTTGAAGCAACCCTTTAGGTATCTCTGCCCAGTCAAGTGTGATCGGTATTTTACGAGTCAATATCCCAATGTGTGTGGAATATTTGCTGCGCCATTGCCCAGTAGGTTGATCCAACTCGTCAAACTCAAGAATCATGTGTTCCCCGGGTTTCTTAAAAGCTTTTGTCGCACCCCTTACCTTTCTCTTCCCCGGTGTCTTTCCACCACCACAGGTTTTCACTTGACATTGCATTTATCCTTGTGAATCTCGTACAAACTCGGAGACAATATCATCCCTAATAGGGGGGCACATTCAGCTTGTATCTGATAAGCATCAAGCCTACGCTGCAAGTCATCATGAGCTTGGTCTTCTGGTTCACCCAAATCTTGCTCCTTGTTGATATCATACAACTTGTCACCAGATTGAGAAATACCAATGTCTTCATCATCCATATCCTCTTCGTGGTGAAGATATTCATCACCACCCATTTTATGTAGACACCTACCACCACAAGACACGCAAAGTAACATGTTTACAAGTTGAAAATGCTTAAAAGTCATTGATTTCATGCTAATTCAAGGTTATAGGAGCGAAATAAGATCAAAATGGCAAAAATGAGCAACTAACTTTCCCAACTAGTTTATTTTCATTCCTAGTTCGCATCTAATCCTTCTAACAACTCATATTTGGTATACAAAACATGTTTACAAGTTGAAAATGCTTAAAAGTCATTGATTTCATGCTAATTCAAGGTTATAGGAGCGAAATAAGTTCAAAATGGCAAAAATGAGCAACTAACTTTCCCAACTTGTTTATTTTCATTCCTAGTTTGCATCTAATCCTTCTAACAACTCATATTTGGTATATAAAACATGTTTACAAAAAAATTACGATGCTTAAAAAATTGTACCTCATTCGAGTATTCTCTCATTGTGGTCTGCTCGAATATAATTTGCATCCTTGTCTACATCATTTGCTACATCAAGTGTTGGGGCGGTGAAAGAGGGCGAATCATTAAATGCATCATATTCGTCCTCGTCTTCAACATCTCCAACCCCTAAAATTCTTCTATTGCTAGCAAGGACGATGGACCATTTTGGATCGGCTTGGTCGGTTACATAGAACATTTGCTTGGCTTGAGATGCAAGGATGAATAGTTCCAAACTATTCCGCAAGTGGACAAGGTCTACAAGCGTTAAGTCATTATGTCTGACGTTGCGCCTAATATTATCGACCCATTTACACTTAAATAGACCTACCTTGAACTCACGGTAATCTAGTTCCCATATTTCCTGAATTCGTTTGTAGTAGGATAATTGTGCGTCAACCGGTGCTGTATCCTTCGCACTTGCAATTTCTCTTGATGAAGCCACAAGAGTGACACCACTGTTTTGATTCGATGAGGATTTCTGATCACGATGCTCAGTCCAGAATGTATACCCATTTTTGTCATATCCCTCAAAAGAATAAACATCTTCCTTTGGACCATAAGCTAGCCACTTTATAGTATCAGAGACACTCTCATCCAATTGACGCATAACTCGATCATGGAACCACGTCACAAACATCTTATTATGCAACTGCATTAGTGCCCTTTCCCCTTTTGATGGAAATTCCGCATGCAAACTATCCATGTGCTCTTCTAAATATGGGTGAACCTCCGCAACATGATGAAGCACAAATAGGTGAGCTTGCAAGAACTGATCATGAGTAGGTGAGATCCGTTTCGACCTGAGGGTGCCATGACCATCGAGTCTCCCTTCTTGTCGGGAAGTGGGAAGCCCAATTGGTTCAGCAACGGCAACATACTCCGCCACGAAATTACCAATCTCCTCCGCCAGAATCTCTTGAATCATACTACCTTCTGGATGGGCTGGATTCCTGACTTTATGTTGCAATGTGCCCATGTGTCTTTCAAAAGGATAGAACCACCTCATAAAGACTCCACACATCTTAATCTCACGAACCAAATGAAGAACCAAATGCACCATTATGTCAAAAAATGACGGTGGGAAATACATCTCAAATTTGCACAAAGTTACGACTACATTTGCTCTTAGAGCATCAAGTGTAAAAGGATCAAGCACTTTGTTGCATATGGTATTGAAAAACGAACAAAGGCTTGTAATAGCTTCTCTCACGTGCTTCGAATACCACGAATGACAATCTGTAGAAATACTTGCATCATCATGTGACAATCATGTGATTTCATACTAGTCAACTTCATTTCCCCATTTAAGGAAACGAATCTTTTCATGTTTGACGAGAAACCAGATGGAACCTTAATGTCATACAAACAAGCACAAAACTTTCGTTTTTCTTCCTTTGACAATATGTAGCAAGCGTGAGGTAAATAAACCTTTTCATTCTTGCCTTTTCCATCATCTTTCTTCTTTGATACACTGGTGCCCTTTCCTTTACGCTCCCCCTTATGTCTTTTGCCACTATCTTCGCTTACATTTTCCATTACCTTGGCCTTCCCTATCTTTGGCTGGACCCACAATTCTGGACGAACCCCCCACGCTTCCAAATCTAATCGCGTGCTCTTTCCATCCTTTGTTTTACCATGAATACCCATAATTGTCCCAACAACTGCATCACAAACATTCTTCTCTATATGCATCACATCGAGACAATGTCTAACATCATGTTCTTTCCAGTACTCAAGCTTCCAAAAGATCGTTTCCTTTTTAAAGAGAGCATGTGGGTCTAAAGGTTTCGATGTTTTACCAAAATCAGTTGTTATACCCTTCACTCGACTATACACCTCATGTCCACTCAATGGCCTAGGCGCAGCCCCCTCTTCCACTTTCCCATTGAAGGCCTTTTTCTGCCTACGATATGGGTGATCGCGCCTAAGCAATCTTCGGGTCCTCACATACACATCTTTGCTGTAGTGTTCAAGGTACACGTTTGGTGTGCCATCGATACAAATAGAACATGCTTTATTCCCTTTGTTCTTGTACCCGGACAGGTTGCCATATGCGGGAAAATCATTAATGGTCCACATTAGGGCTGTACGCAAGAGGAACATCTCGTTCTTATGGGCATCAAAAGCAGAAAATCCTTCGTCCCACATCTTTCTTAAATCATCAACAAGGGGCTCAAGGTAAACATCTATGTCGTTTCTAGGTTGCCTTGGACTCGTTATCAATAGTGAAAATATTACATATTTTCGTTTCATGCATAACCACGGAGGCAAGTTGTAGATCACTAAAAGTACAGGCCATGTGCTATGTTGGGTACTAAGAGTGCCAAATGGATTCATACCGTCGGTGCACAACCCAAGCCTTAAATTTCTTACTTCATCACCAAATGCCTTGAACTTCATATCGATGTTCTTCCAATCCGGAGAGTCAGCCGGATGCTTCAGCAAACCGTTTTTCTTTCTTCCCTCTGCATGCCATCTCAAGTTCTTAGCATCTTTTGGTATTGAAAATAGACGCTTGAACCTTGGAATGATGGGAAGATACCATAACACCTTGGCAGGAGGTCCCTTCATACCAGCATTGCTGCTCTTTCGCTTGTAACGCGACTTACCACAACGTGGACACTCCTTCAACTCTTTATATTCATTTCGATAAAGAACACAATCATTAGGAAATGCATGCATCTTCTTATACTCCAGACACATGAGTTTCTTTGCATAATAGTAGGACTTAGGAAGTTCATTCCCATCAAGCAACATGTCACATAACACAGTCAACAAAGAAGTAAAACTAGTGTCACTCCATTTATACTTTGACTTAATGTTAAAAAGTGTAAGCACGGCTGAGAGTTTGGTGTATTTTTTGGACCTAGGATACAAAGGCTTTTTGGCAGCCTCTAATAATGACTCAAATACATCACATCGGTCACCAAATTCACCTTCAACATTATGCATCATCTCATCTAAGTGATTACCACCACCGTCCTCGATCTCATCCCCCTCTCCAGCATTATCATCCCTATCTACACCATCATCAATACCATATTCATCTTCCGCACGAATCTCGGCGCTTTTATCGTGCGTATCATTCCCAACAACATTCTCCCTATACAATCCCTTTTCACCATGCCAAACCCACACATGATATTGAGGCCTAAACCCTGACATACCACATGATCCCTTATTGTATCAACACTGTCAACCATTGTCACATTATTACAATTGACACAAGGACAATAAAGGTCATTCACACCCATTCTGATTTGATATTGTGAAGCACTCTCGCAAAACTCTTGGACCCCATTAAAGAATTCCAACGTATCACGTCTACTATACATCCAATTGCGATCCATCAACGTTTTAAATTGCCTTTATACATACCAACACATTATAAATAATGTACAAATGCAACATATAATCAAAGTACATAGTATGTATTTATATCGTTCATGCATATAGTGTACAAAATGAATGCTCCCAAAAGGTCCTTATCACTCCAACCTAACCCATCCTTGAACGTCTAATCTCACAAGTGAATGTATGCCAACTTTCCAATTTTAAGGAAAATTCGGCAGCATTTCGCCCCAGTTTATCCAAGTACACAACGTAGATAATTACTTACCTACATATGCACCCAGAGAACATGGTGACAAAATGCTAAGCCGAGATATTCCATAAAATCGAAAAGGAGACATACATTCACTACCTGAGTGAGATTACACGTCCAAGAACAGTCCCAACCGAGGACTTTTCAAGACTTCTTCCTAATGAGAAAGACTCGAACGGGTATCTAGGCAAATGATGATGCAAGCATTCAATAATTTGCATTTTTTTGACATTTAACAAAACACAAGTTCATTCATTCATATAATGCTAATTGGACTACCTACAAGCAAACTAAGCTTACTTACAATCCATTCATTAATTCATCACTTTTTAGCTACTCAAATTCAAACAACTTATAACATTATACAATTAAGGTAACAATTAACATTTTGTATACAAATAGTTAATAAAATAATTAACATAAAATTTGATTAACTAAAATTGAAACCCTAAAATTTGGGAAATTGTTATTAATATATAGATAATGAAGTAAAATTAAGCATGAACTGTAATCCCCCGTAATTTTGTAAAATTTAAAATTATATTTTATCATATTTTTGTTAATATTTGATTATAGTTATTTATTTACATAAGTTATTTTACTATGATTTAAGCAAATAAATTTAATGTTTATAAAACTAATAAAACTATTTCATTAAATTATTTCCCTACCCATATTGTAATAATGCATTAATATGCAAGCCCAACCCATAAATTACTAAACCCATTCTTTTACCTAAAACCCACTTACTTTAAGCCCAAACCTTAATCTTAGTTTTATTGAAATTAGAAAAACTAAAACCCTTATTTCCCCGTCTAATCTCACGCTAAAAAAAAACCCCCAAGCTTTCCCCCTCCTACTGCATTCACGATCAAACAAAAAAAAAAGGGTCGAAGCTTGTTGCCACCGTAACCACCACCGCAGCACCGCCCAGGACCCTTGCTGCCGCCTGACAACCGTCGCCCAACCACCAGGCCGCCGATTTTCTTTCTTCCTCCTTCCTTCCTTCCTTGTTTCTCCTTCTTCCTTATTATTATTAAAGATTGTTATTTTAATTTATATTGTTAGTTTTAATTACTTTAATCATGTTTAAATTCTTTAAAAACATGAGAAATTATCAAGTTTATAAATTTTGATATGTAGTTTAAATTTTCAGATTTACATAATTTGTGAAATTAGGGTTTAAAACTTGATTTTCATGGTTTTAGGGCTTAAAAGCGTATTGCTAAAGTTATTCAATTTGAGCATCATTTTGTTGTGATTTCGCTATGACTATGATGATGTTTAATTAAACAGCAAGTTCTAAATTTTTTTTCATAATTAATTTTTGAATTTCGTTCGTAATTCTCCTTAATCACGTTTTGACTGTAATTCGTCTGATTTTCGCAAAAAAAAAATGTTTTTCGTGTGTAAACAACGTTTTAATCAAAACTTACAACATTAGTAGTAAGCACCACCCTCTCGTGGCCAAATTCAGCCTCTAAATATGGTTCTCGGGCAATTTTTAATTTTTAACGAAGTTTTAATGTTTAAAATAAATTTTCAGATTTTTATAAAGCTTTAAACTTGCTGTAATTTTATGAATAAGTATGTATTTTAATGTTTTTAGATAGGAAATTTTAAGAATAATATATAAGCTTTTAATTCTAGCAAAAAGGAAGGTTTTAAAGTGTTGTTTTAATTGAATTTTGAAGGTTTAATTGAGATTTTATGAAACTAGTTGAATTCTAAATATATATTTTAAGTTTAGATTGTTGTATTCATACACTATACTATTAAATTAAATTTTCAGATTTTAATCTTGGTTTTAAAAGTTTTAAATCATGGTTTTATGATGGACTTTTTTTAGGTTTTTAACATACTAACCTACCATATAATGATTATTTCAAGTAGAGATGTTTATAAGGTTGTTTTATATTCTTAAACTAAATTTCCATATTTTAATCCTTACTTTAAAGTTACTTGAATTTTATGTTATAAGCTATATTTTTATGATTTTAGCATATAAACTCATAGTTAAAGTACTAAATTATTAACTGTGGCTATTGGGAATAAATTAAGAGCATTATTTCAATGATTTAAAGGATTTTAAAAGTAGTTTGGTATTGCTGTAAAATATATTGCTTAGGTATTAATTGAGCTATGGTTGTCTTGTTTAGGAGAGGACTTCGTAGAAGGTGACTTCTAGCATTAAGGTGGCCAACCAATTTGTGTACTCAAGGTATGTACAAGAATACGAGGAACCTTGATTTAGGAGCATGCTTAGGGACTTGGAAAAACCTAGAATCATGCTAGGGAACTTGTGGATTGGTTGACATTGTTTGGTAATGAGTTGGTTGCTGATAAATGTGATGATTGCTTAATTCATGTATGAGAAATTTGCATTGATTTTTCCTTATGAGCATTATTTATGCAATACTTTGAAAGGAGAGTTTAGAAGTAAAGCTATAAGTATACATATGGAATGAATCATTTTAATTACTTATTCATCTGTATTGAAATGGAATGAGTAAAGGAAGAGTTAAAGTCTTATAAGACAAGGTTGTGGATATGAGGTGCCTTATGCACTTAAGGTGTTTATACACCGAGGTAGTTAAAGGATTCAATAATAAATGTTGTTTGTCACTAATAAAATAAGAATTGAATTGGAAACTTGAATGATTTGAATGATTGATGTATGATTGGTTGTGTTGTTTGCATATGAGTCATCACCAAATTTAAACTGGTAAATCACATAAAGTGCAAGAAGGATGAGCAATAAAACTCTTGATTTGTGCACATCTAGAGTAATGACAAACAGGGGTTAGGGTTCACGGGGTATTAGCCGTGCACTTTTCAGAGGCCGTCTGATCTACGAGTCTCTTGTTTTAAATTCTTTTAAAATTATAATGAGTTAGATGAGATCTCATACTAGCTATGGCCACGGAGTCGCGCCCGTCTGCCATTGGATGTTTATTAATGTCTTCCGAAAGGAGGCATGGGGTTTTCTTATTTAATGTTCCGGAATGGAGCACAGGGGGACAACTCGGTTTATTGCTTAATCCAATCAATTAATGAAGTGGTCAATGCTACTTAGATAAAAACTTTGTAATAAGTAACAATTGAATCATGTGTTCGATGCAATGATTATATTGAGTGTATGGAATGCTTGTTAGTATCATGCTAAGGCTCTTTATTGTGTTTCTTAGCTTGTATGTACTCAGCGTTGCTGATGACGTGCTTTTGTGTGTATCTCTTGGTCATGGCCTTCGCCTTCAATGACCCTGTAATGATCCAATTCTTACACTTGTAATATTGGGGAGCAGACTAATCACATGTTTCTGCATAAACTGAACTTGCATTAGGGTGATGGGATTTGAGTGGAGCGTTGGTTAATCATTTAGCTTATTTCATTTCATAAATTGATGTTATTTTGACTCTAACTCTCCTCGCTTCCTATTTTACTGAGTTTTGAATAAGGGTCGTTATGGTTCCAACTTGTATGTCTAAATTTGGTTTTGATTATTAGTTTTGAAACTTACATTTTCTTTTAAAACTAAATTAGTTTCCGCTGCTAATATTTGAAACTAGCCTTAACGTTTGAACACGTGGCGGTAGCGCGCTAGTAATTCTCTCACAGGTTATTAAAAGTATTTACAGGTTATTACAGGTTTTAAAGAGAGAATTATTGGGGTGTTACATGAACTCACACTAAAAGAAGGAATGTGGGGTGAGAGGGAGAAGTGTGGTGGCCTGGTGGTGCGTCTGAAGGTGAGAGGGGTAGCACGCTGAGGGTCGCAGCAATGGAGGGAGCAGGGGCAGCACGCAGAGGGACGCAGCAACACGACGGAGGGCGACTGTGGTGGAGGCGGCGACGATGCTGCAGCAGCACCCTATGGTGGTTGTGGTGGCCGGAGCAGGAGCAGCAATCCCTATTCCTAAAACAAAACTTTGAAGCACGACAATGGTGCAAGCACTCAATGAACGAATTGAAGGTTGTTGTTGTGGTGGGTATTAGAAGCACGACAATGGTGGTTGTGGGCTGTTGTGTGACGGTGTGTGAAAGTGAATTGAAGGAGGGAATGAACGAAATGACGAGGGAAGGAAGAATGTTTAAATACCGGTTTTTTTTTTTTTTTAAAAAAAAGGAAGCGGTGTGAACCGCATTTAATTACTTTTTAGAAGCGGTTCAACCCAAACCGCTTCCAATTCTCCTCTTGTTTTTTTTCCTGGGTTTTTGTATGGAATCGGAAGCGGATTCTAATAACCGCTTCCAATTAGTGGCTTCCCATTACCTTTTTTCTACTAGTGTTTCCCAATTCAAAACCAAACTCGTCTCTTGACACCTTTTCAAGACTCTTTCAAGATTGTAAAGACAAGTGTCAAAAGATGAGCCACCAACACTAAAATCATCCATGAAAACTTCAATTTCATTTTCAAGCATCTATGAAAAGATGGAAGTCATGGATCTTTGAAATGTTGATAAAGCATTACATAACCCGAAGGGCATCCTTCGGTATGCGAATGTTTCATATGGACATGTGAAAGTCGCTATCTCTTGGTCTTTGGGGTGGATAGGGAT